GCTAGCTATGATGCTTGATCGAAGGAAAAAAATCCAAAGTTTAGTATCATGAAAATGAACGATAGAAAATTTGACACGACTGAGATTTGGAATCTACGAATATTTGTATTCATCTTGGTGTGTTTCTGTTACTACATCTCCTGTAATCAAAGAAGAAGAGTTATTTTGCTTTGATTGGTCGTCCTGTATATATATATATATATATATATATATATATATATATATATATATATATATATATATATATATACAGTGAAACCCGGATATCCAAGAGTCTAGTTACATTGGGACACAGGCTCTAATTTGGGAGAAGAAGTCTCTTATATCCGGTTTTCTTATATTCAGGTTCATTGTATATATATATATATATATATATATCCAGGTTATATATATATATATATATATATATATATATGTATTTAGGCAGCATTTTTTCATTAATGCTATTTCATTAAATAACAGACAAATTTTGTCTATTTATTTTAAGCAAATTCCATTTATATCGTCTAATAAGTTTAATAACATTATAACTGAAAGACGAAAGTAAATTGATACATGCTATAATCCTATCTGAGATTTCGGCTTACATAATCCATCATCAGAAATGACAAGCACATTACAATAGATTAAATACACGGACATAGCAACAATGATAGTCTGTTTTGTTTGCATGTAAGATTTCCAAGCAACGACAGACTCGTGCATACGAGACGCTGGAAGCAAAAATCACACAGCAGCCCATGACATCACACATGACCACGCGAGAGTGAAAACGAGAAGTGTTAAGTAAGGGAAGCTGTTGGTACATACATGCATACATACATATCTATCTATCTATCTATCTATCTATCTATCTATCTATCTATCTATCTATCTATCTATCTATCTGTGTGTGTGTGTGTGTGTGTGTGTGTGTGTATGTTTGTATGTGTGTGTCTGTCTGTCTGTCTGTCTGGGTGTGCGTTCGTGTTTGTACATATGTATATATAAATCTTTATTTTCATCATAGTACTGCAAATATATCCTTGGACATATTGAATGAATTAGCCGAAAGCGATTTAAACAATAATACCTACGGACGTTTCCTAGACAACCTTTGTAAACATATAAATGGAAACTGTAAAAACTTTTTAAAAAAATGATTAAAAACCTAACAAATTTACCTTGTCAGTAGCATTCAATGAATGTAGAGTTGTATCCCACTGGAGATCACCAACGAAGATAGAACTTGTGGAACAATTTCGAATTCTGGCCATAGTTTATGTTTATTATTGATCCAGTGAAACTGCAAGGCGAATGAATTTCTTTTCGCCTTGGATTTGACCCCAATGTAGATAGCCGACAAGAAAGCCCCATTACTCGCATACTGAAATTATAGACCAATAAAGAAAACCTGTTACACTAATAGTCAGTCTTACGGCCACATCTGTTGAAACATCTGCTCCCGTACTATCACCGAAGCTAAGCAACGTCGAGCCTGGTCAATACTTAGATGGGTGACCGCTTGGGAAAATCAGGTGCTGTAATCTTGGATATGCGGGTGGCTTGATGGATAATGCCTCGGTATTGAAAATAAGACGGGTTCGTAGTTCATATGAGTTAGTTATATTCATATCACACGCAGATGTTGGCTAATTAGTACGACTTGTATCACTAAGACCATTATTATCTTGCCTAAAACATATTTATATTTCGCCATAACATGACTCACAGGGTTGTTGATTTGCCGCTAACCAAAAATCACCAATCAACTTAATGCGCAACATTGACAAGAACACCATCCCTAAATAAAAATATACAGATTTTGTTTCAACATGTTTCACCCTTAGGAAAAGTTCAGAACGAAAGTGAAAATTTGTGACGAAGGAAAACTGTTGCACCTTTTGAACAAGAGTCTGTTTCTTTAACATTAGGACAGATGATGAAAGATTAAATGATTTTACATTTTAAAAAAAAAAGGTACATAACGCCTATTACTCTCTTTGATATGAGACTTTAGAATGATCTCTTCTGAACAGAGCTCCTTATTTTGTCCCAGTTTTGTGGGCGATGAATCATTTTAAACTCTGGAAAACTTTCCCCCACAAACCAAATGTTGAAATCCTCTCGCTACTGTATGGCTGTTTCAATGAGAAATATTCAGACGAGTTACATTCTTTAGTTTCACAAACTCTCCCACTTATAGCTAAGACTGAGGCGAGCCTCCTTTATCTGCCTCGTATTCAATGATTAAGAAGAAAGTTCGGAGAGAACAGGTCTTTGTTCCCACCAGCGAATACTTTGCAAGGGGATGTTTTTCTGACCATTACAATCTTAAAATATTCATGTTTAGAACAAACAGTTATCTTTCCAACATATCCTTAATATATATATATATATATATATATATATATATATTTCAATAAAGGTGCAATCAATTTAAACATTCATGAATTATTCATACAAAAACAAATACAAAGGTTAATGATTTAATTGGCGAGAAATCCATCGTCGCAAACAA